AATATAGTCATAAATTAAATATATATAATATATTTTTTTTTGTTTGAAACTAAAAAACAAATATAGTCTTTTGAATTCAATAGATAATGTACTTATATAAGCAAAGTTGAAAGAATATACAAGGGTGCATATTCATAAATTTGAGAGATTAATTATCAAAACTCTATCAACAATATATGGATAGAGTGTTTTAAGTAGTACTATCATATTAACTTATGTTACGAGTATGATTTTTGTTTTTTAAAGAAATGAACATAGGTATAGTCGTTCATTTTGTCCTAGGTTACATTTAATATCCCCACCGATCGCTCTTTAAGCCTTATTATTAAGACAATAATTTTCTTTAGTATAAGTAAACCCTACTATGAACCGAAACTGATGTGAAGGCTTGAAATTTTTGAGCCAAAATGTTTACTATATAGCAAGAGGTTTTTAAGATAAAACTAATATACCAAAATATGGAATTACTAACCGAATCATTGTGACTGCAAATTCTGCCTGCAGTAATTGTTGTGTGGACTAAAAATTTCTTCACGAAACCAATAATTCAGGATATACCATAATAAGAGTAATTGAACAGTATTAATGATTTTCAGAATATAAAATTAGAAACCGATTCGTTGCAACTTTGCTAATTCTACTTAAAATTGCTGTTGCGAAATCTACGGCGGGTTCTGGACGCAGGTCACAGCGATGAACCCTATCTCGAAGTAATACTTACATAGTTCCGCGGTAAGACAAGATCTGTAGGATTGAGGCAGAGTGGTTTTAGTCCGACGAGTCGAGCACTCACTTTCCGGGGTGCCAGATTGTAGTCAGGCGTACGCATTACATTCTTCCTTACCTCAAAAAAAAAGGCTAGAAATATTTGAACCTCACCAATGCTTCAGAGAGTGTAAACCAATGATTCAGAATATCCACCTACGAACCGAAACATGGCGATTGCAAACTCTATCTTCAATTAGTGTTGGAAAACTAACCTTAACATTTGTTTTTAATTCAAATTTTCCAAATATTCAATCCAATTATACAATCTATTCATTTATAAAAGTGTGTGATAACAGCTTTTTAAAGCTAAACTTTTTTATCTTAATTCCACAATTGAAATTCAACCAATTTTTCGTCATCCTTAAACTCATCATCAAAGAGACTTTTCCTAAATTTTTAAAAAGGACATAAATAAATTTTTAATGATATCAAGTAGAACACATCTTTCCACATTTGCCTGTAGAAGTTTAATTGTGTTCTTAGTCAAAGACCCTAAATGACTCTACAACCATTTAGTGCTCTCAAGTTTTTTTGTTTAGGCAACAGACAGGGAAAGCCATTCGAGTTCACTGCTGATAATAGTACTCGTAATAACCTTAAATAAGCATGCATAAAACATTTTGCACTTTGCAACGCATAGAATTCGCTAAAGCACTTACTTGGAGCAATTAGACAATTCCCATGTTTGCAATTATCCCATTCCAGTGCCAACGCTTCCTACTTCCCACTTCCCGCTTCCCGCTTTCAGGGAGTGTAGATGTGCCCGAAGCTGTTACACCAATTAAATGTTGCCAGCACTGACAGACGAACGTACACGAAAGCACACAATACGCATAATGCGTTTTGCGTTCTACATTCTTCATTCTGCTTTAGTGTTGCCGCCATTTTGTTCCTAACATGTTTTGGGCTTCCGTTTTTCTTTTTTGGCACTTTTTCCATTTACTTATCGATGCTTTGCTTTTCACATTTATTATTTCGCCAAATTACGCCAAAGTGTCTGCTGGGAACGCAAGTTAAGTAATTTGAATGTAATTACGCTGCGGTGGGTGGTTGGGCGTAGTACGCGTATTCCCCATTGTTTGTTGAAGAGAGGGACTCACACATCGTGAGCGGAAGGAGTTGAGGTTATAATACTCATTGAACATTCGTACTTTTATTGTTGCTGTAAATGAAAATTTGCTTTTTATGTTCTGTTTCACTTTGGTTCTATTATTTCTTCTTCTTCTTTCCCCCCGTTGTTATGTGTGCGTGTGTGTATGGATTGGAATTGTTGCCTCTTCCATTACTGCTCTACCATATTTCTGGGAACAACGATGAGTTTGGAGGTTAATCAAAGTCTTCTCTGATATTAAGTGCATATTTGATTACATTTTTATGGCGAGTATTTTATTGTTTACGTATAATTTGATTTATATTAATTGTTGTTAAAGACTTAAAGATGAACTAATATTTTCTTCTCTTTTGGTTTTTCTTTAATAAATCTTCGATGCTTAGGGTATCTAGATTAAAAAGAATATTCTTGTGGTAATAAATATATTAATTGTATGTTAATAGAATTTCATATACCATAATTTTCTAGAAAATCTCTCTAAAAATTTCGGTAATAATTGATTATCTCAGTAAGATTTTAGTTTAAGCTCCAACTCTCATCATATTATATATATAGGTATATATAAAACAGTCAAAATCAAGAGTGTAGATGAAGGTTTTCCTCCGTCTAACCAATAACTGTAAGCTTTTAACATTTATTTTACTTTTTAAAGTGATTTTTTAAGCCTTTTCAGGGATAGTGGATAGGGATAGTTGGACTTACTCCGAATGATTCTAAAACAAAGAAAATAAAACAGTATAAAATTTCAGTTATATGTATTACTTGTTCAGTATTATTGACTTAAAATACTTACTCATTGTTTTTGTTATTATTACTGCTATTTTGATAATGTTTGCTAAAACCTCCATGGTACATAGGTACATCAGAAATGAAGACATACAGAAAGACTTAAGAGTCGAGAAAGTGCAAAAGTACATCAAGGCCAGAGCGTTGAAATCATTCTATTCTGGGGAAACACACATTTATTCATAGTCGCACTCTCTTAAATCAAATGCAATATACATATATTTTGTCAGGAAGATATGATGGGCTTCAAACTATACTTCTATAAAATTAACTGCATAACTTATTTTCAAAATTCCACGAAGCTCTTATTACAGTGGATCATCCAAATGGTCAAATACACTGTTGAGTACTTAAGACACTAACTCACGTTTAATCAAGCAAAGAAGAAGTTATAGCTCATCGTGTTTCTCATCCATCCAATACTAAAATGATGTTTATGATTAGAATTTATTGCATTATATATGCTGAGATTTGAAACTAAATTACTGGGTTGTGGATATTAATGATAATCTATTACAATACGAATAGAATATTAATAATTAGAATTGATTATATGTATAAGCTGAGATTCAGAACTAATATAACATCAATGGTAGAGGTTATGCAAAGTAGAAAGTGATAAAATAAAACATATTATTAGTTTTTAATGGTCTCACCAAAATAAATCAATTATTAATTAATAGCCTTTACCATCCACTGCTAAAACTTGAAGTTATGATCTGTTTATTGATATTGTAATTTTAACCCTAATACCAACAAACCTTGGGTCCACCTCAGGAGGCACAGGAAGATATGCTGATCTACGGCCCGTCATCAGTTAAAAGATAAATAAATGATAATAATTCTTGTATAGTTAAAGCTTAGTGTGGGGCAGGGATAAGCCCCCCAGCGACAAAAGAGTAAAAGTGAACAATAGCACTAACTCAAATCACAACAACAACTATAACTAATATCCAGTTCGTATTTAATGGACGTAAATATCTATAAAAAAAAATGACCAAATTTTTTTGGAACATTTCTTTTTTTTGAATATTTTTTTATAATTTTTTATTTTTGTTTTTGAAAAAAATTTTCTTGTGTAATGGAGCTACTGTGCTTTATATGAAAAGAAGGTCACCAAATATTTTTTTTCAATTGACCATTGACCATTAGAACCATTTAATCGGATACAATAATGTTTACTAAAATCGAATGTTTGTTAAAATAGTTTTCTTCATCTATTTGTACTTTTCATACCACCATGAGGTACTATTGAAAAACAGTTCATTGTTTTGTTTGTCTTATTAGTAGAACTGTATTGAATTACAACAGTATTATTGTTAATCCCAAAGACTGATAGTACATAGAATGAGTTAATTCTTTTTCCAATAAGCAGTTACTGAGAGAATACTTTACATAAATTCCTTAGTTATAGATTCTACGCCTCTCTGTACAATATTAAAGACTCAATCTATTAAAGACTCAATAGCTTTCTATTTATTTGTATTTGCTTCAATTTCCTTTTTTATTTCCTTTGTTGTTGTTTCTGTTTTTATTTAGTGCTGTTATTTTCTACATAATAATAAAAGAATGAGAATATAGCTCATTCAAACGGTACCCAGAACCTAGCGATTTTTTTATGTGTTGCTCACTCAGTTGTATAATTTTATATGGAATCAGTAGTACCTATATTTTAAAAATCAGTTTTAGGTTTATCTTGCAGGCGGGATATTGTTATATAGACTGCACAAATCCTAAAATCCTAGTTATCTCAATTAAACTATATTCTAAACTATATTCGATAAAAAAAAATAAAACAAATATATGTTTATTTTCATTTACTACCCATGCATTACACAGCAGTGGTATGTATTTATTTAATTTCTTCTAAAAAAAAAAAACCGGATTTACGCACCCATTTTTCCATGACGAAAAATGTTTGCTAACTATACCGTGAGAATTTCAGCACCCAACAAGTAATCTGAATCCATATATGTTATAGCAATAACAATAAATTCTACTCTAATTTGTTGTATTAAAACGTATATTACTTTGACCAATAATTTTAATAACTGAAAATTTAAATTTTCCTTAAAATTGTTTTTATTTATTTGGTAAGCAAAAGTAGATAAACACAAGTTATTGCCGCACTTTTTAAAATGTAAACATTTTTAAAGTATGCTGTTATGGTACAATGACTATCAAACTGTAGAAATTATTTAGTTATCGATAATCTTATCTTCATTAAGAAGTGAATTAAAAACTTGTGCAGCTCACAAAGAAATAAAAATAATGTATTAACTCCAATAAAAATGTTATTTATATAATGTTTATATATATCAAAAAAGCAAACAAACTAAAACATAAAGTTTAACATAAAACGTTTAAGTCATGCATTTATCGATGACACCTTATCTGCTAAATAATCTCTGCCATCTCTAAATGTCAAAATAAAAGAAAAATGTCTTATTTTTGAACCGGGAGACGAAGTGGGCAATTTGATCACATAAAACGTCGAACTTTATAATCATTTCATAAGTTAAAAAAATTTATATATAATTACAAATAAAATGTCTTTTATTGGTCGCGTATTATTTAGAAATGTAAGTAAATATTGTGACAGATGATTATTGTTTAGATTACGTAATTTATTGCTTCAATTAATAATAATAAATTTTGTCCATTCAAAGGCTACGCAATTTTGCAAGCAAGCAACAAAACAAACACAATTTGCAACACGATTTTTTCATCAAAGTAAGTTAAAGTGCAATAAATTTTATTCATGGAATTCTGTATTTATTTTAACAACAAATACTTACGTTTTTCCCTACCACAGCTGCACCGGTGCTCGCACCACAAGTGCAACGACTTGCGCCGGACTTTAAGGGTCTCGCTGTAGTAGGCCAAGACTTTCAAGAAGTGAAACTTGCTGATTATGCGGGCAAATATTTAGTACTTTTCTTCTATCCACTTGATTTGTAAGTAAATTAGTACAATAAAAAATTAGTTTAAAAAAATATATTGTATAAAAAATATTTTTATCTACCTTCCAGCACATTCGTTTGCCCTACGGAAATAATTGCATTTAGCGATCGCATTGGAGAATTCAAAAATCTCAACGCTGAAGTGGTTGGCGTATCGGTAGATTCACATTTCAGCCATTTAGCTTGGTGTAATACCGAACGTAAAAGTGGTGGCTTAGGTCAGCTAAGCTATCCACTGCTCTCTGACTTAACTAAAAAAATTTCACAAGATTATGGTGTATTATTGCCAAATGACGGCATTTCATTACGCGGTACATTTTTAATAGATCCAAATGGTGTATTGCGTCAATATTCTATCAATGATTTACCTGTTGGTCGTTCCGTTGACGAAGTCTTACGCCTAATCAAAGCTTTCCAATTTGTAGATAAACACGGTGAGGTATGTCCAGCTAATTGGAATCCGGAATCAAATTCAGATACGATTAAACCTGATGTTACTGGCTCTAAGGAATACTTTAGTAAACATGGTTAAATATAATTCGTCGAAGTTACTATGAATATGAAAGTTTCATCCAAGAAATTATAATTTTTTATTAAGCCTTTTTGTTTACAAATATTTTCGTGGTGAATATTGATTAAATCAAAATAAAACTAGAATTTTTAAAAATATAAATGTAATAATATTAATTGATAATGTGTTCAAACTATTTGGTATTATAATAGGTACTGGTTGCACATTGTTCATTCAAGATTCAGTAGAAGAAAAGCCCATTTTTGGCATTAAAATAAACCGTACTTTATATCTCTCGAACCAACATGAGAGCTTTAATTGTATTCAGAAATTATCTATATTGTAGGAGAGAAATGGTCGAGTCTGCATGGAAGCAGATGAACCTTCTAATCAGATGGTTTCTCACTTTATGCTTCTTTCTGACTCATGATGTTTCAATCAATTTTTATGTCCATCTAATATAGGCGAGTCACCTAGCAGGCCTCCATTCGAAAAGCGGAGTGTTTTCCATGTAGTTAGTGTCAATTACCGGCACATAGATCAGCTATGGTCGTAGGGCTTTATTCCGTATGGTTCATCATATCTTAAAAAGCTAAACGCGACGCTCATAATGTATGCTTTTAACTCTTAAAATAGATCGCTTTTGAAACCATCGTGTGTGGTAATTGTGATGCAATTCATGTTTTAGTCACAGCTGCATGTTTCAGGTTTTACTACATCCATTTATAAGGAAACGTCACAAAATGCTTTCTCCAAGTACAATGAATCAACACGCATTACAACCGTTTTTTTAAACATCTTCTTAACATACAGTTAATTGTAATTGAATATAAACTGTGAATTCTGATTGAATTCATATATATTACTCATAGGGTTCCAGCTTAAATAAATAACAGTACATATTTAATTTTAATACGTATTTCCGAACAAATTTTATTGCATGTCATTTGGTTATACACATATACTTAATTACAATTAATAAAAATTAAAATGTTGTGTAGTATTTAACTACTAATAGACCTTTATCCATTCTACTATATCAATTATCAATTATACTTTTAGTTTTCCCACATATAATTATAATAATAATTTTCTGCGATATGCAGAGAAACGAAACCATATCTGACGTCATATTTAAGTTGATGGTGGCGGCGGCGGTGGTGGTTGCGAAAGCATTGGTAAAGTAGGTGGTGGTGGTGGAGCGACATTAGATGTCCATGGACACCACGATTGTAAACCATTTGAACTAGCCCAAGGCGGCATTGGTGCACCTGGTGGTGGAGGTGGTGGCGGACCAGTGCCAGGTGGCGATAATGTAGTAGTGCCAGGTGGTGGTGGCGGTGGTAATGTACCTTAAAAATAATGCAATTTAATATATATTGACATAACAAAATATAAAAATATTAACCTGGTGGTGGTGGCGGTAATGAAGCACCAGGTATTGGTGGATTCATTGGTTCACCGCCTGGTGGTGGAGGCTGTGCAGCATTTAACCATGGTGGCATAATTGGTGGTGCTGGTAATGGTGGTGCCGGTACAGGTGGCATACTTGGAGGCATATTTGGTGGCATACCAGTACCAGGAGGACCGCACCAATTAACAGCTGGTGGAATTGGTGGCGGAGGTGGTAGTCCACTTTGCATAGGCGGTACAACTACAGGCACTGGTGGAGGTTGTGCACTAGTTGCTGGTGGCGCTTGTATAGCCTGCATTTGTGTCGGTTTTTTATCAAATAGACTGTAGCCACGATTCAGATGAACTTGTGCCAAAGGATCAGCTGGTGGTTTTTGTGCGCTTGGTGGTGGTCCTTCACCTAACTCAGCCATTAAACTCATATATTCTTCATCGATTTTAGCTTGCGAATCTTCAGTTGCATCGGCAGGTCCACCTGCGCCAGGTCGCTTACTGCGGCAATCTTTTGATATATGGCCAGCACCACCGCATGCAGTACACACAATACTATTTGTGACATTAGGCTTATCGGGACATAACCAGGATTTATGTTCTGTCGAACCGCAATTTGTGCAGCGTGGACAGTCGATTTCACGTAATGTGCCATTCAGTTGAGCTAACTCCCGTAACTGCATACGTCGTAAATCATTATGTCCCTCTGGTACTTCAATACCCTGACGTATAACATCTTTTATCTTATCAACAGCTTTCTTAACAGCTTCCGGATTGGGTGCAGTGATGAATGCATGTAATGGTTCATCTTCACCTGGCAGCGGTTGTCCATCTTTGCGACCCACTTTGCCCTCTTTTACAGACCCCTTACCACGTATTATAATTTTGGCACCAGTTTCTTTTTCCATAGCTTTAAGTGTATTACCGCGTGGTCCGATTAACAAACCAACAAAATTAATGTCAGGATGTTGTTCCTGTGGTATCAAAACCTTATCGCTGACACGTGTCACTGGTGGTCTGTAAAGATATTAATATTAAAGAGATGTGTTTTATTTAAAGTCATATTTATGTTTTACTTACTTGTAATCTGCCGGCGGTTTGAATTCTGGATTTACGCTTTGCATTTTCTGTATCAATTGATGACGTTGCTCTTCTAAGCGTTTACGAAAACGAAATTCACGTGTATTCAACCTTTTGCCATCAGAACTATAGATGGGCTCTGGCGATGGAGACCTGTGAATATAACAAAAAGAAACAATTTAATTTAATATTCCAGAAACTACACTCAGCGTTTTAAAAATACTTTATTGCGTATAGCTTTAAAGCACTTGTCAACGCTGGTGGCTAGATATATTTAAAACTTAAATAATAATATTATATATAAGCAAATAATCTTAAAATAATTGTCCTATGCTGTTCTGAAATTTCAAACATTATTAATAACGTTATTAGAATTTGACTAATTAAAAGAGTTAGTTTTCATCTGCTAGGGTGAAAAAGAAGAATTTTGATTAATAAGATTTTATTAATGCTTAAAACTGTATTATTTCACGGTTGATAACCAAACGTCAAAATCGGCCTAAGGCAAATCCTTTTAGCATTTTCGTGACCTTAAACTTCTTCTTTCTCTGCGCTTCGATATCGGTATCTCTTGGAAAAGAAAACGCTTCCAGATTAAAAAATTCATTTTAAAAAGTTTTACTTTTTTAATTATTACATTAGATTCAATTGCTTACATACACGGATCAACAGACCGATTGAACCCTTTTTTATCACTTGTTATCCTCTTTATTAATATCTATGCTGATTAGACAGTGTACCTAATTTAATTGAGGAAAAATTGTTCATTAATGTTGATAATATCGGAAAGGCTAAAAGTTAATGTTATTACTTTATTTACCAACAACATTTGCATCAGTTAAATGAATTATTTTAATCGTTAGAACGCTTCAAAAGTTTCGTTTTGAGCTATTTACTATTATGAATTATTTTGACCTGATTTATAAGCTTTTTAATAACTAACCAAAAAATAAAACTATCTCATAATAATCCTTATGATACAATTGCGAGCTTCTAATAACATTGCATCGATATTTCTATTCGCCCTATTAAAGTGACTAAGTTTCCCTTCTCCTCTGTGCATATTCATCAAATCATATTCAGACTTACTGACTACGTCCCCACAGTTTCATTATGATACCACCACTTTGCACTGGACATTAACTGTTTGTAAATGAAAAACAAAGCTCGTTCGATTCCTGATACTTGCAGTCAAATACAAGAATTATTTCTAAGACCACTGATGATGGGCATTTGGCAATACTCGAAACAGCTATATGGTCAGCAAAAATTCAGTTAATTAAAATACAAAAACAATTTTTGTTGTTGTAGTTCACTACTTTTCGAAAAACCTCTAAATGAAAGAACTATTTTGAGACACAAATAAAATATAGAATGGTTTTAATCGTAACGGTAGATACGTACGTGGAAGAGCTGAAGACATAATTGCCTAAAAACTTCAAGTAGAAATATTTCACTATAACAAACTAAACCTTTCTAATTTACTAAAATATTGCATGCTTTTAGAAAATTTTTATCTTTAATCCCTTTTTTTATATCACAACGGGCCATTTGAGCACAACGCCGCCATTCCAACCTCACCCTTAGCTTACAAATATTCTAATAAGTTATGAAGAACTTGTTCGACTATTATTATAATCATATTATTGATATATTAAAATTTGATGTATTGCTGAATAAAAATTATTAATTAAAACAAACAAATGATTATACTAATTATAAAAAACAGTGACATCTTGCAATAGCAAAATATCACTTGAACCTGTGAGTAATCCTTCAGTCCAAGGCACTCTGCAAAAACATATTAACAATGTATTGTTGATTGCCAGCTTATCCATTCAACAAAATTATAATAAATTGGCTGCAGACAAGAAAACAATACGATAGAGTGTTCGTTTAAAAATTGTTTCAAACCTTTCTTCTGGATTCTGCGGTATGCCCAAGTCTCCTGTACGTAATTTTCTGCTAATTTCTTCGATCTGTAGCTGAACTGTAAGTATATGGAGTTAAGAAGAAAGGGAAGAAAAAGTCGAGGGCAAACCTCGTGATTAGTTAAAGTTTTATTTAATTATAAAAAGTATTATATATATGTAAAATGTAGAAATATTTTTGTATTTTCATTAGCGTAACTTTATCTATATGATTTGCTGAAAATTAATAAATCAGAATGAATTATTTGGTACAGAATTCGACAAAGACTTCAATTTATAAATAGCATTCACAACCGAAAGTTTTGCCATTAATGTTGCAAATGTAGTTTAATGATAAAAAAAAATTACATATATATAATATACATATGTATTAAATTATGTATTAATATTTATGCATATAAGACTGCTGCGAATGCTTTTTATTTTGCTTTATGTCCTTTGTCATTGCTGCTATACTTACTTATTTTATAAAAATGATTAAATAAATTTGTATATAGCTTTTTTGAGTTTGTAAATTTGTAAAAACTAACAATTAAAATATTTAAAACGAAACCAATTCTGTTCAAAATCTGTACTTATGTTGAAAAATTTGGTTATTTATTGCCAGTTTCAGGCGTGCATCATGCGACTGCTTAGCTTAAACCTTTAAAATCGTTTTAAAAATGTTTGAAAATTAATTTAATTATTAATTAGCTTTTATTAATTTAAAAGAAAATATTGTTGAACTTTTATATGTGTTTGTAAGTATGTACAGGTTTTCATCCCGACTGTATGGTTTTAACACTGTTTCTCTTTAAAGAAAGCGATAAGTTAATAATTAATTATTTTACTGTTCATTCGATTGCACCGTACTGCATAGTGTTGACTGTTCTGCTAATGCCACCGAGTTTTCATAATCAAACGGCTTCTGTACAAATGCTACATAGATCGCTATTTAACTGATTATTATTATTTACTTATTAATTAAGAAATTAATTAGCTATTTTCTGATTAACGCTTAAAACTAATTTATACGAAATCAACAGTAAAAACTTAAAACCTATAGCAAAATTTAATATGAAAATTATACATTACCTAAATAGGCTTCCTGCTGAGTAGGATCAAGTGTTGATGGTAAAATAGTCGGCATGCCAGGTATAAAAGTCTTATCATTTTCAGTACCACCCCAACGGGATTTACGCTTTTTCTTTCTATCTGAACCATCCTCTGTAAATAAATATTTTTAATAAAAAAAAAAAATTCAAAAACTTAAAATAAAAATAATAACTTACGTGAATTTTCAGACGGATCATTGCTACAAGAATCATTACTATTTGTACAATTAAAAAGTGAGGCGAAATTTTTGGTAGAAGTTGTACTTGCCATTAATTCTTGTATTGTTTGTGTTAAATCAAAACGATTATCACGAGTTTCCTCTTTAATTGTATCTAGTCTAGATTCTCTGTTCATACGATCACGTTCTCTATCAACAGATGTACTACGTCCACGATGTCTATCGCGACTACGTTCACGTTCACGTTCTCTACGTCTTTGCTCATAGCTCCGACTTCTAGAGCGATCCCGGTCGCGACGCCGAGAACGACTGCGACGCCTTCTATTACGATCATAATTATCATAAGTACGAGAACGACTACGTCTAGTACGTGTATCACGATCTCTACTATCACGCCGACGATCGCGATCTCTATCTCGTTCTTTATCTCTATTTCTTTCACGTTTCTCACTTTCACGATCCTTTCTACGATGTGATCTATCATCTTTTTCAACTCTATCTTGATAACGATCACGATCGCGGTCACGATCTCTGTCACGCTCACGATCTCTTTCACGTTCACGATCTCGTTCACGCTCACGTTCACGGTCGCGATCACGGTCACGTTCGCGGTCTCGTTCTTGATCACGATCTTTCTCACGCTCACGTTCCCGATGTCTATCTTTACTTTCATAATCCCTATGCTCACGTGAACGTTCTCTATAAATTGTATAAAATTTATCAATATATATACACTATAATTTATTAAAGTTAAATTTTACCTTGTTCTATCACTATCTTTATCTCGATCACGTTCTTTTTCACGTACCCGATCTTTAGATCTTGACCTGGAACGCTCGCCTTTATAATTGGAATATTCCGCATCTGAGTCTGCTTTGCCATTTTCTGTTTTTAGCAGCGAAGGGGGCTGCATAACAAATTTCATTGCGTCAAAAATTTGAGGCGGTGTACTCATTTTTTAACAAAACACTACTTTCACTTTGGGTTTTTAATATTTATTAAGGTGTTAATTGTAACAACTTAGCAAAATTTTATATTTTTGCAAAATTGTACGTCTGACCACAGCTAAAAAATTTTCATTTGAAAGAAAAATGGCGATTGGACAGATGGGAACATAGTTACAGGGTTGCATTTTAAATATTGGTGTTATTTTCTTGTTTCTTTTGTGAGTACAAGTAAAGAATTATTCTTAAAAATTTCAAAACGCACAATAATTAACTACATTGTCATAATTCAAGTAGATAATAAATGTATTTATACTAAAATATTAATTTTTAAATAATTATTCAATTTAAAAAAAAAATTGTTTAAAAAATTTGAATGACAATAATTGGCTAAGAAATATTTTCCTAATCCTACTTTTACATTGCCAGATTAAAAGAACGAGATTAAGTTAATCTATATTTTTAATCTACACTTTGTACAAAAAATTATAATATAAGATCGTTTTCAAGAAAATGCAACTACCAAACATTTGTTTACCTTTTTTTATAAATATGTCAAAAACAGCTTTCTCAAACTGTGAAAACCATGAAGGCTTTTATTTAGGTTGTTTTATTCCTTTGATGGAATCAGTTTTCTCAAACTGTGAGAATGCCATTCGCGCTATTATTTAAAGAGCCATTCGCTTCTCATTTTCGATTTTTGCCAAAATGAGCAATTTTTGGCCAGTGTAAATACCGTACAATTCAATTAAATAAAATAAAATTCAGATAAATTTCTTTTAAATAATATATAAAAATAATTGCGATTGTTGTATAAAACTTTTTTTGTTTTTCAAAATGTATTTTGTTCCACGAAAATTTGTGTGTTCCAGAAAATTTGTGTAAGAACGTGATCTGGCATATTATTTGTATACTCTACTCGCTCTTAGTTTGTACTCTACTCGTGTTTTACTCGAATTTTAGTACGAGTAGCTCGTACAACAGACCTAATATATCAAAAAAAATATTGAATATATAAATAGTATATTAATTACATATCAAATAAAAACAAAAATGTTATTAAATATTTGCCTCCTCAGTGCCTTTGTTTACAGCTCAGCTGTTGTTTGTTTACAAGTTAAATATAAAACATGTGACACATATTTTAATTTTGTTGATTTCCTTTGTGGGAAATTTTTTTTTAAAGGTTGCATTCAACATTTTTGCCTGAATTATAAGCTGAGTTATATGACAGTTTTGTATGATAAATCATCCTCATTAGTGGCTATAATGAACAAAACCGCCTAAATGAGACAGTGAGTATGTGCTGTAACTACCGAGAGCAATGCTCAGTTAAAATGTTAAATTGTTAAATTAACTATAAAATACAACCTTGCAATCCACCACGTGCAGTGTATGTAAGTATATTTCTGTGTAATTTGTTATTGTTGAAAATGCAGTAGCAGAGCTAGTGCTAGTTTGTGCACAATTTTTAAAATTTAGCAGAGAAAAAAGTATTTCATATAATAAATTAAAAATGGGCAAAGCTAAGAAGGCCAAAAAAGCTAATGCTGATTTCGTTTATGCAAAGAAATCGGCTGATAAGGTAAATCCGTTTGCCGTGGCAAAGCCTGCAACAAGTAAAAAATTGAATCCATTTGAAGTGCACATAAATCGAGAGAAATTTCACATATTGGGTCGCACCTGCAAACATGATAAAGGCTTGCCAGGAGTGTCACGTGCTAAGGCGATTAAAAAGCGGAGAGAAACTCTGGGAAAAGAGTATCAAGTGAAGCATAAAACGAATCAATTTCGCGACAGACGCATTGGAAAGCACCTCACTGCTGACGAAGTTGATGAAGATGTATTAAATGCCAGATTTGTAGCTGATAAAATGTCACAAATAAAACAAAACAAAGCATCACGGTTTAATCTTAATGATGATGAAGTGCTAACACATCGTGGGCAAACGTTGGAGGAAATTGAACAATTTCGTGATGATCGGTCAGATGATGAGGACAATGAAGGATTAGATGGTATTAAATTTTTATAATTTCTTGATACACAGATACTAAATTTATTGTATGTTGAACAGCTGATTTCACTGAAGCTGCACATTTTGGTGGTGAGGAAGGAGACAACAAAGACAGGAAAACTGCAATTGATGAAATGATATTGGAACAAAAGAAACGTAAAGCTGAATTAGCCAAAGAAAAAGATGAAGTTAATGAGTTAACAGATAAGTTGGATAATGATTATAAAGAAATGATGGGTTTATTGAATAAAGCGGGTAAGACTGAGTTAAACACCAAAAAAGTCACCGATGATTATGATAAAGCGTTGCGGGAAATGATATTTGAGCCAAGAGGCGTTGTAACAGATAAGTTATTATCTGAAGAGGAATTGGCTAAAAGAGAAAAGGAACGTTTACAAAAACTGGAAAAAGAGCGTTTGAAACGCATGCAGGCTGAAAATGAAGATGAAACACAGAAGAAGCCAAATCATCGTTCCGCTGATGCACTTGATGATGGTTATTTTGCTAATGATAATGACGAAGAAGACGGCACTTTAGCGTATACATTAGATGGTATATTATCATATATTTTATATAAAATTATGTTTTATAATTTCTTGTGTTATAGGTGAGTTGGGTACGCGGATAGATCATGAAACTTCAACATATAATGATATAAAAGTCAATGAAAATATTGAAAGCAATGCCGAAGCAACGGATAACAAAAATGAGGATGATAGTAATGAAGAAGATGAAGATGTCGATGATGAGGAAGATGACGAAAGTGATGCAGATACTGATGATTTGAGTGATTTAAAACAAACTGATTCTGAAGAAGAAAGTGAAAGTACACAAACAAAAAAAAATCAAACTAAAAAAAGTTTAGATCGAGTTGCTGAAAATGGGGAAAGTGAAAAAATTAATCAACTTAAACAAAACTTGGAAGTCGACTTACCTTTTACGGTAGATATGCCTACTACATATAAACAATTTAGTGCTTTAATCGGTAATCGGAAAGCTGCTGAGCAGGCTACTATAATCGAGCGTTTAATCAAATGCAATCATCCAAAACTAATTGGAGTTAATCGTGAGAATGTAGTCAAACTATTTGCTTTTTTGCTACAGTATATAAATGAAATGTTCGCCGACGCAACTCAGGACAACATAGCGACACAGTTCGCGATACTCGATAAATTAAATCCATATTTATATGATTTAGTGCACTTAAATCCAGAAAAAATGTCAGTTTTGTTATTCAATGTTATTAAAGAAAAATACGACGAATTTCGTAAGAATTCTAAAGTTTTCCCGGGTTTGGAAACAGCAATTTTCTTAAAATTAGTATCAAATTTCTACTCAACATCGGATTTTCGACACTGTATAGTAACACCATGTTACATTATTATACAGCACATATTATCAAAAGCTCGTGTGCGTACATGCCAGGATATATCTATAGGCTTATTTTTAGTAACCATTGCATTGGAATTTTCTCAACATTCTAAACGTTTTTTACCTGCTGTTTTCAATTATCTACTTGGTATGCTCTATCTAAGCATACCAAAGCGACCGGTTGAAGTATTCAAAATACTACCACCATTTCAAAGTTCTGGACCAATGAGCATCATATTGGCTATACCGAATGATTTAAAAGGTGAAAATATAACAGATGAAATGATGCTAAGCTTAGACTTGGTGACGACGACATTTTCAACTGAGTTTAAAATTCGTGCATTGAATACAACGCTTAAGTTAATAGAGGATGCCATAAATAATATAGGCGACACGATAGGATCAAACTATATAGCAGAGAAACTTTTAGAAATGTTAGAACGTCTACCGGTTAAATCATATCCTACTTTTGTTCATAAAAATTATGACTCGGTTATGGAAGCCGTAAAAGTTGTGGCTGGAAAGACTTTAACGAAAATTGTACCACCAGAGAAACGACCAAGAGCTTTACGTTTACTGGAACCACGAATTGAAACTGTATACGATGACAAACGACGACCTAAGCTGTCAAAGGAAAAAGAAGAAAGAGCTAAGCTTATGCATAAACTTAGACGAGAAACCAAAGGTGCAATACGTGAGATACGTAGAGATACAGAATTCATACAAAATATGCGCATACGACAACAGATACAAAGGTGCGTTAAATTAATTATATTTGTCATTAAAAAATTAATATAAAATTATTTATTTTACAGTGATAAGGAACGTCATGAGAAAGTTAAACGCATTTATCAAGAAGCTTCTGTACAACAAAGCGAACTTAATGAGTTATCGCGTGCTAAGAAAAAGAAGAAATTTTAAATGTACTGAACTAGGGTTAATTAAGATATATGTTTATGAGATAATTTAAATGATTATCAACTATAGATAATTTGAAATGATCAGAATAGAAAGAATGGAGAGATAAAGGATGGTTTCGGACGTTCACGATATTAGTTTTTGGAATTACAAAACTAGTTTCTAATTTATATACTAATTAAAATTAGTATATTTTCATACTAACAATATAATTATGCATTCATATTATGTTATAATCCAAGCTCAATTCTGTTAGAGTATTTATAAAGTAATTATTAAATAATTATCCTAACTCAGATCTGAAGAATTTTCTCCAGTAAGTAACAGTTATTGTTAGTACTTTTGCATAAGCTGCAAATCTCTTGTCTCCAAATTCTATTAATTTAATTATATATTATATTTATATTAGAAAAAATATATTTGTATAAAATATATTTATATATATGTAATATATTTAAATGTAGTTTATTGTAAAAATATAAATATGTAAAAATATTAAATAGAAAATTTTATTTCAAAAAATTTATATATTATGTATTGGATATATAATCTATATGTTTTTATTTATTTATATAAATGTAACCTATTTAACTCTAAATAACATATATTCACACGACGCATAACAGAGAAAACTATTTCTTATTTTAACATATTAATTTTTAGTCAAGAAAATTATTTTTCTGAAATTTGTCGACAACGCAACGTTGCAGCTTCTACTGCTCCAGCAACAGCTGCGCGGAAACCTACAAAAAATATTTATGTAAATTAAAGCTTAAATTAAAATAGAAATAAAATAGCAAAAATTATACCGGATAATTCTAAATGTCTCAGACCAGCTGCAGTTGAACCAGCAGGACTCGTTACATTATCTTTTAACACACCAGGATGATCTGCAGTTTCTCGTACAAGATGACCCGATCCCATTACAGTTTGTGCAGCTAGTCTATAAGCTAAATCACGTGGTAAACCCATATGTACACCGCCATCTGCTAAGGCTTCGATCATAACAAAAACATAAGCGGGTCCACTGCCACTTAAGGCAGTTATTGGGTCTAGTAAATTTTCATCAACTTGTTCACAAGTACCAATCGATTCGAGTAGTGCTTGTGTGGTTTTTGCATCTGTATCAGTGGCTTTAGTTCCACGTACATAAACCGAACATCCAGATTGTACTAATGCGGGAGTATTAGGCATAACACGTACAACGCGAGAATTTTGCGAAAGCCCCTGTCATGTAAAATTAAAAGAAAATCTCAATTGATGAAAGAGAACTCTACAAAGCTAAGTTTAGATTATAAAATTTGAATTCAATCTGAGTGAAATCTTAATTTTATGTTAAAACAAATAGTTCCGGAGGTCTATAAAATTGTAGGAGCTGGTTTAAAACTTGAGATTGAGACACTTATATTTAGAATAGGCACCCAGATGTAATGCTACGGTATATACTGCTTTTTTTTCGTGTTACAATTATTAACTTGTGTGATCTCTTGGAATAGTTAACTTCAGGAATTATTTTTTTGTCAACAGTTGCGTTTAATGCACAGTTTATAAAGGTTTCGAAAATTTTCAAGTAGATTGCAACATTAAAATTAAACTCTATCATGAGTTACGATTATAAATCTAATAAAAAATATAATAATATGTAGTTCGGTAATAGAATGACTATATCTATATGGACCTCTTTGGAATTCTATTATATTACAAAGTTTGTTCCTATTTGACCTTATGCCTCACTAGGGAAAACGGACATTTAAAATAGAAGATAATGTCTGTTCAAAAAAATGTGATCGTTAGATTATTTACATAAATAATAGTAGTCAATACATCTATTGAAAACGGAAAATGGCTGCCAGTGGAGCAGAACTCTGAACCCATATTAAATCTTCTTTTTAGTGTTAAAACCATTTCTAAATCAAACGCATTTAATCTTTCTAATGGATGTAAGAAGCTCACACATTGAGAAGTTCTTAATATCCATCGAAATCATAATCATCCGCCTTGTTATTCTATTGCTACCCAAACCCGGATACTAGATACTATTAGTATCCAGTACTATTAGTATAGTATCCAGTCTTTCAATTAGTAAAGACATCTTATTGTATTGTATCCAATTACTAATCAGGGATTGTATTAGATTCTAACTAATTCTACATTAAGTCTTTCGTTCAGTGAACTAACACTGAATATGACTGAAACAGTTCTAATGTATACACATTGTTATCAATTCCATTCTGATTTAGCAGCCACCAAAGCACTACACGCTAGTAGCTCGCTAGGAATATTGAAGAGAATTTTTAGAAAAATAATGCCTTGATTTGCTGTTGAAGTATCTGAGTTAATTTAGAGGTAGGCGCATTTTATTCCTTTAGAAATATTTTAAAAAAGCGGAGACCCCAATAGTGTAATTCTTTGCTTGAAAAACAGTCTGTGAAAGTAGAAGTCTTGTTAGAACTAGTAACTTTAGGAGGCTCAAAGAAATGTATATTGGTATTTGCTTAACTTACACGATATTAATAATAAAATCACAACGATATAAAAATAAAGTAGATAATTCTAATAACACACTATGTTAGTATTGGACTAAAGGAAATCTTTGGTGTGGAATAAAATTTCAATTCCAGAGGCTACACTTATACTTATTAAGTTCCATTTTTCACTTCATTTAAGGCATTTTGATTTTTACCTGTTCCAAAGTTTTAAGTGTAACGCCCATCGCTACCGACACGAATAGTTTGTCATCACTTTTAGATTTTATCTCTGTTAACACTTTTGGAACAACTTGCGGTTTTACAGATATAAAAACAACATCAGATTTCTGCACAACAGGTATATTTTCCACTAAAGTTTCAACACCGATGTTCTGTAATATAGACATTTCTTATTAAGGGTTAGATAAGATATTATATATTAATTTGAACCTTAAATGAATCCAGTGAAGCTTTATCTGCTGGATGTACACTAGCCATAATATTTTCAGCTTTTGTTAGACCTAAGAAATAGGTGATATACTCATACATAAACTGAAGAAAACTATAACTATTTTATTACCAGCAGCTATAAAGCCCTTGGCCATAGCTTGCGCAATTTTTCCACCTCCCAAAAAACCAATTCGTCCGATTTGATTCATTTTATTTCTTATACTTTTGGCTTGTTAGTGTTTTTACTTCGGACACCAATTGATCACTAATGCAGTCTTTGAACTCATGTCTCGAATACAACATGAAACGTAGTACTTCGTAGTCTAGATAAGCCTTTGCTTCTCGTAGAACCATCAGTGCTTTACAGCAAAGCTATCGGGGCAAGTGAATTATGTCGATTGTGCTTGTATTGTGTTGGCTGCGTGAAGAGCGAACCGCATCTTATCAGTTACAACTGTTTTTTTTTATTTGTTGACTGGAAAAATATCAATTTAAATTCAATACATTTTGTAAACATTGTGATAAGGAATCAAAATCGAAACTTTGATGAATGACGTAAAGAAAGGTGTTTTCAGTTCAATTTTTCATGCTTTCTGTATGTCTATAATCGCTTGCTAATTTGGGTCACTGAAATGAGATAAGTGCATCAGAGTCCAAATTTGCTGCATTCAAATTAATAAATATAAAAATTTTAATCTTTCTAAAGAACTCCCACAACGGCATTATAATAAAATAATCTTAAAAATAATGCAACAAATTTTTCCTTGATTCGTCTAGAAGGTCTGATAAGGTAAAGGTTACATTGACGATTTGCTACTGCTATTAGACATAGAGAGAACACGCAAGATTTTCTGAGTATAACCAGTAAAGTAGTTCACAATATTAACTGGATCAAAAATGCAAAAATGTGTGCCAATAACTTGCTGAGATTGAGGGAATTAAGCAATACGAGATTCAAAAATATAAAGCTTCGCTTTCTACAAGTTCATCGCTGCTATTTGTATTTTGGACCAGGCATAGAGAGAGGACTTCAAATATTAAATTATTATTTGTCTCTCATATCTATCTATGTTTCTAAATTATTAAATTCATTTAAGCTTGCCATATGTAGTAATGGAAGATCGTAATTAAACTTACTGTTAGCTGAAGATAAAGTTGTCCCTATTTTCAGACCACTGCCTGAAATGGCGTAAAGTTTACATAAACTAACAAAAAATAGGAAAAATTGCGATATTCTTATAGTAATCTGTATATATCATAACATATTCTATATTCTTACGGCGAATTCAATAGCATATATGTTTTACAATTTGATAAAAACATCAGTTTTAGAATATTGAACAATTGTCGTGGAAGAGCAAGTAACTTATACATGATACTATATACTACACTGACCTAAGTTTGAATTAAGTCAGCAAACTAAGGTTTGTATTGAGACTTAAAATACAACTATGACATCGGTCCTGTCTTATAGATATTTTTGACTAGAAGCAAGGGACATTATATTGGCAAGATTGTTAATACAATATGTCTTAGCAAATTTAAATTTTTATAAAAAAGCACTTATATTTATATATATCAGGATCGCATTAAAAAATATATTAGTAATAGCAATTAAAAAAAAAAAGAAAGACAACCGACTGAGAAAAACCAAAATGCCGTGAAAATTGATAAAATAAATTATATATTCTAATATATAATATATTCCTTATACAAATATAACTCTTTGTTTTTATAAACTATTTTCGAAGTTAAAAATATATTATTCTGACAAAATGAACATAACGCAGTAACCATACGTTATGGTTATAATAATAATAATTTATTATTAACAAACTAGCATTGATTTACATGCTATATCAGTTTATATATAAATTATAGTCTTCATATATTTAAATATAAATTGTAAAAAATTAAAAAAATTGTAAAATCAGTAAAAATAAACTAGTATCAGCTTTTTTGAAGTTAAGTCTTGTTTTTTTAACTAGAATTAGTGTGTAAAATATTCTATTATAAGTTTTTTTTGTTAAAATTAATACACATAGTACAAAATTAGACTAGAGAGGTAAATACAATAAAGTTGGTAACATATGTAAATAATATTTTTCGATTTTTGTATTTCTCGACAAACATTTAAATAACACTTATCGTTTTAGTGTTCAAAATCTAATATTATGTTATTCTCTCATAAAATAGAAGAATAACATAACATAAATAAATTCTTTTCAATATCATGCTCGAAATAAATTAATAGCGGTATTCAGATGATGTTCGGTAAATCGGTAATTAGTTTAGTAATAAAATGGTAAATATCTGAATGTATTTTTTTAACAGCCAGACTAATTATAGACTAATTATTAATATCCATTTCACAAGGAAAATTGAAAAATTTTATCTATATGTATAAATTTATTTCAATTTTTATTGCGAAATTAATGTTAGTAGATTTTAGGTAAAATTATTAAATAAAACTACTAAAATAGCTTATTTTCAAAGAAAAATACCAAGAAAATTCACAAAAATATTTCAAATTCCATTTAAACTTACTCCATTATTTAATTTTATATTCCTATTAATATTTCTATATTTATCACAATTTCAAAAACTTCTTATATTAAATTAAATATAAATTTTCTATAATACTTTTCAGAAATTTTGCAAATAAGCAAGAAATATTTAAAAAACTAAGTGGAAAAACGAAATTTAAAATTACAGTAAGACTTCTTCGATTACTTAATATTTTATTTTTTTCAATATTTCTATCTTTATTACATTTTCAAACTTTTCAAATTTTAAATTAAATTAACATTTTCTATAACATTTCATAGAAAATGAAATTGCATTTCAAAAAAAAAAAAACAGTTTCAGCTGTTTCGCGTTGTACAAAAACAAATCCAAACACAATTTTGTCACATTAACAATAAACTGAACACGTTTGAATATCTTTAATATATTGTTTAATGGCGTTTTCGATTTGTAAATCTGAATTCGATTTAGATTTACTCTCTATCTATCAAATTTTGTTGCCAATTAAACATTTTTATAACGTTTTCGATTGTTAAATCTTGAGTGAATCTCGATTTACTCTGGATCTATTAGGTTTTGTTGTTCAGTCGAACATTTTTTATAATAATCTAATATTTTTTTGATAGTCTTGAAACGAAGTCTAAAATTTAGAGAAATTTCCGATGTGACTATTTGAAATATAAATTTTAAGCAAAAGATAAAGTTGAGTTAACGAAAAAGTGATTTTTTTTTTAAGTAAATGTCAGTGACAGTTGACTTTAATAAAACCGGGAAAACATTTTGAAAGTAGCGCAAATTTTTAAGTTTGATTATAGAGAAAAATAAATAAAATAGAGTGAAATATATTAATTCACATTTATAGTTACAATAATCAACCTTTAAAATATCCCAGATAAAAATGGTGTTTGCAGCACGTAATAAACATTCGATTTGTAAACAAAAAATATATAATTTTCTTAACTTGGGGCAGTATGAACACTTTTCAAATTAACTTATTTTCATTTAAACGAAATAAAGGAATTTTGGTTGCCTGATCAAAAATGAAAATTGTACTTAAAATGAATTTCAATTAAATGGCATAAATGTGTATAGTCAAACGAATTTAAAGTTATCACGTCAGAATGAAAACTTATAACAACCCTGTTCATTTATCAACTTAATCTCTTTGTTATCGATAGCAGCTCATATGCATTTATAATAAGAAGGCAGTAATAAGGGTCGAGTTATTTTAATTTAGGAAGTTATGCTTATCATATCAATCTGTGTTTGTTATTATTACTTAGACAGTAATAAAGTCAATGGGATTAAAAAAAATTTAAATCATTGAACTAAATTGCAACATTTTGTGCTAACATAAAAAACAACAAATCGTGTAAAAACACATCATTGTTTTGTGCTAAGCAAATTTTGACTTAAGGTTTTGTTTAGCGAAGTGACGTAGAAAGAAAGTGTCAAAAATTGGATTAATATTGTCAACAAATAATTTTGTTAATTTATTTTACATCGACAAACAACACATTTTTGGTAAGAGACTTGTGTTATTGGTGTTGTAATAAAATTTATTAAAACCTTAACTAATTAGGTAATTTCAAGTGAACACATCTGCCGACTTAACAATAATAACATAAGTGAAATAAAAAAAATGAAAAACTTTGTGATTTAAGTTTATTAAAAAACCGTAGTTTTTTTTGTTTAAACATTATTGTTTAAATAAAAAAAACTTAAAATTTACTTGCGAATACTCTAATTGACCTTGTAAAGTTGTAAAAATTGACAATTAATTTGTAAAGAGAAAAAAGTGTGCGTGTGTGTGTGTTTTCATTTTTATGCAAAATCTAATAGCAACAACAACAATGATGTAAATAAATTTAATTCAAATGCGTGTTTTTTTTGTTTTTCCACTTTTTGTTTGCAGTCTGTAAAATTAATTAAGTATTCAGTAATGGAAGTTAAGAAAATTTCATCTACTGGCGGTCGTAAGCAACCAACTGCTATATCTCGCATGAAACAGGATTATATGCGTCTTAAGCGTGATCCTTTGCCTTATATCACAGCCGAGCCTTTGCCCAATAATTTGCTAGAGTGGCATTACTGTGTCAAAGGGCCAGAGGATACACCATATCAAGGTGGTTATTACCATGGCACATTGCTGTTTCCCCGTGAGTTTCCTTTCAAGCCGCCTTCCATATTTATGATCACACCAAATGGTCGTTTCAGAACAAACACAAGGTTATGCTTAAGTATTTCAGGTATATTTGAATATTTCAATTATAATATAAGTAATAAAATAAATAGTATAAATAAATTACTTTTTTATTATAGATTACCATCCTGATACCTGGAACCCTACTTGGTGTGTCGGCACAATATTAACAGGACTCCTAAGTTTTATGGTAATTAAAATAAGATATTATTAGATATATACGATTAAAAGTATTTGTCTTTAGCACCAATACAAACAAATAGTATAGTTTCTTGAAAAACTTCATAAGGTCTTTTATAATTCTTTCTGAAACAGTTCACTAAAGTATCTCAATGCAGAAAGTGCTGCTTTCAAACTTATATATATCAATGATTCATTGAATAGTATTACCTCTATATACCTAAGATTGTAAGGAAATTAAGTTATATCTAATATATACCACTTTCACAAGACTGTATAGTTCAATAACGTTTTTATAAGTTTTTTTAGGGTATTTTGTTTAGATAAGGGATAGAATAAGTGCATAATCGTCAACTTGAGCGACTGATATATATTTATATAAATGCATATACTATTAACATTTTCTTAAAATATAAATTCAATTTAAGTGGAGATATATTTAAGAAATTTTTTGAAATTATTCTTTCAGTTTAATTTTATAAACATATTTCAATATTATTTCTTTGTCTTTGTTTATGCTTATTTCGTAGACGTAAACAAAAATCTGACTAATAATAATTTTTATTGGATTTTCTTAGCAAAATAATTGCTTTTTTTTCTAAGCACGTCTTAAATCTGTTTTCTGTTTATATTAAAACATTACAA